CTTAGTATTCAAAAACACTCTAGAAAGAGATAAAATATATATATGGTGTGTTTAGATGAATAATTTTAGAAATTCAATAAGCTTGAAATTCTTGAAATTTGAATTATTCGTGCCTCAACCCCTCTAGTTATTATAGATGACCATATTTTTAGTTTAATTTTGACCGTTCAAATTTAATAAACTACACTCACGTATTTGTTTAGATTGGTTTTGTTTTGCTTTTGTTGTCTGACGAAGAATAACCGCCAAACCCTTCTCTCTATTTTGCATGTTACGTCACTTTCTTTCTTCTCTCCACATTCACTTCCATGTCCCCAAGAAAACAATCCTTACGTGTTGTTCTAGATCTATATATTTTCGATGGTAAAACTTGATTCTGCATGTATTTGAATAATTTATTAATGTCATCGAATAACCTTTTATTTATTTATTATTGATTATTGATGCTTTGGATTGAATACTCATTAATTTATTTGGCATCTTGTTGATCATAATCAAGATCACATTAAGTTTACCATTGCAACTTCACCATTTCAGAATGTAGATATATGTTGAAAACTTGTGCATATGGGAGAAATGAAACAAAGACTTGAATATTAAGATGGTTTTGGAAAAGTGTTTTTTTCACTGGGTCTTATTAACGGTATTGGCATTTCGACATGCACAGGTTGGGTATTTCGCCAATTCTGTGGCATACCCCAGGGATATTCCCTAGTGACATTCGTTAGTTCTTGAGTAACATTTGTTTGCCTAGCTGTGTTTTCGAGTAACACAGGGGATGAAGACGTTGCCCCCCTGGTCACGTTAATCACATTATCAGGATTAGAATTTGCTTGTTCTACATCTACGTGATTATTGTCGTTTGTTTCTCTCCTATTGCTAGCATTAGATGTAGACATAGTTCTTCCATTCCTAAGTCTCATACAACACGTGCACCTAAAACTAGTCCAATTATGTGCAATTTCAACGAGTCCCACCGGGCGTGCCAATTTGTTTACGGTGGAATTAAGTTTTATGGGCTCTTTTTATTTAGACTAGCACGAAAAACGTTTCAATTTAGATATGTGATGTTTCTGAGTTTTAGTCTTATAAAACGAGAAGAGGAGTAGTAGGAAGATTTAGTGATTACTTGTTTCTAAAGATTCTTCAATAATTAACAAGCAATAATTTCCAGACATATAAATGTAAAGATGAACA